ATCATTATTGTACGTTAGTTTTTCTGTAAAATATTTTATCGTAATAATAATTTGTTGTTGGTGTGTAAAACCGAACTGAAGGTTATTTTTGTTATAGCAAGTTATAGAGGGCTAACGTGCTACTACACCTCGGGCTAAAAATCATGGCCTATAGGCAATCAACCACGCTGCTTCCGAATATCACATTCCCCGGACTCTAATCGCATTTGAAAATATCGAAGTCCGGTGATATGATACAGATTAATCAGAATAGTTTTGAACTTGACAAGCTATCACATCTTGTAGAGCGAACAATTTTCTACAAACTGATATACTTGTGCAATGTTTACCAGCTCGTCTACACTCTTTTAGACACGCTTTTCAGATAGCCCAAAAAGCGATTTTTGGGGCTATTTGTACATCAACTGTATTTTCATAACGAATCAACGTTCAAAGCCGAGACACTTTTCATTTTGTAGAGAAATGTTTAATCTAATGAATCATCTAGTTGCGATTTTAGATTAGTTTGTAGCTTTGTTGCAATAACTTTCAAAAAAGAGCAAAAAATGGAGGCCGTTAGCTGGACAAGCCCTTGGGTACAATAAGTTTCAATAAGTTTAACGTGTTCTAGCGAATCTGAATCGCGCTTCTCGTTAGGTGTCTCTGACTGATCGCATTTGGCATAACGCAGATCAAATCTATACCAGGGTATATGACTTGGTTGAACGGAAGAATCATCGAAGCAACTATATTAATTAATATTTTCGTGGTTCAGCTACAGAGATGCATATTCAGAGAGGTAAAGTAAAAACGTTTGCAAGAATTCTCAAAAAATCAAGCTTTGTTAAGGGGGGTTTTCTAATGTGTCTATCCCTTTACTCGAATGCATGTGCTCTATTAAAATAATCCATGCAAGAGAACGATTCATAATCTATCTCGATTCTATTTAATCGATACAGATAAAAGTGTTTTTTTCCTTGTTGGTCATGGATGAATACATTTCAAGTGGCTGCTTCTATTTTCTTTTGATACAGTAGATAAGCGCGTGAGGTGAACGGCACTTCTTATAATTATGTATTCGTGAATCGGTTTATGTTAATATTAAAGTTATTCTCAAAAAGTCATTTGTAACTTAGAAATACATAAATATCGATTTAATTATGTGAGTCGTTACTAATACGTTTGATGAAGAACGGCAGTCTGAATTTAGATACTATAACGGGTGGTCTGTCTATAAAGAATGATCCTCTCCTCTATTTTTTGTTTATCTCTTGATACCTCAGTCCCTTAGACTTCATTCTACTTTAAAGAGATACGTCGCTCAATTCTATACGCCACTGTATATAAATAATCTGATACATTAGAAAATTTGGTGCTTGCTCCGCACTGAACCAAATTGGATAAAAATTGGGCGCCAAATGCAAAATTTAGGCAAAAACCACGTTGATTATGTCGACGCCAAAAAAGAAGTGAAGATGTAATTATAAACAAAACCCGCTGTCGGATTCACCGACAAATTTTGCTTTTGGCGCCCAATTTTTATCCAATTTGATTCAGTGCGGAACAAGCATCAAATTTTCTAATGAGAGGTCAAACCGAGGGGGGAAAATCTCACTTCAAGTGTGTGCACTTACGACCGAAGTGACACTCTAAGAGTGTGAGTCAGTTTTAGAGCGAACATAGTATTAGTTTATATTTTGTGCTTTTCTGACTCTTTTTCTCTTGTCTGCCGAAAATCGTGATCCGAACTTTGGACCTTGCTGTAAGAAGAATTAGACTTTGATTAAAAACCAACAGTCGGATATACCTACTATCGGCACCAAAATTCAATGCACTCGGTTGTTTTTCGAATAACTTCAAAACGATAAAAGATGGGGACTTGCGATTTTCAACAATCGAAAGAAGACAGTTTAACCTATGTTTTCATAAGCAAAAGCCTTTTCCTGTTTTACGTGCTCAATGCTATGCAGTTCAATAAAAGCTTTAAAAATCAACATAAAATACTTTAGTTTTTGAAGTGGTTTTCTAGAAATCTTTCGAAGTACAAGGATGTTTTTTACTATGCTGAAGTAAAAAATCGTCTTGGGCAGGTAAAACAGAGTACACCTTGATATTCTGACACAATTTAGATTGATCTTGACTAGATTATAAGATTTCTAATTATACTCGAAAATGAGCAGAAATGAGTTATTCCACCTAATATAGGTATGAAGGATGATTATAATGAGACATCTCCCAGCTCTACACGACCTTTCTTCGCAAAGTTATGGAACTTACAAGGAAAGCCCTAAATGTCCATTGCATTGTCAGCTCAAAGCTACAGAAATAAGAAGAAACTAATGCAGGGCTTTTCTTGTAAATTCTATAACTCTGCGAAGAAAGGTCGTGTAGAGCTGGAAGATGTCTCATTCAAATCAGAAATTTGCGGGCTACAATCGTGTCTCATTAAAAAGAGGTTTTGTTTATTCTTTAGAGTTTCTGAAAAACTGGTTTTCCAGAAGACTGGGTCTTCAGAAGTCATGAGCGCGCACCTTTTAGGGTATTTACTACCCACTGAGGTCGATCGATCCATGTACAAATCGCTGGAATCGGAAGGGGACATCTCGAAAGGTTCCCTCGTAAGTGTCACTTCAAGTGCGAGGTACTTCGAAGTGTGTGCAACAAAATTGGAGGTTATTTCCCGCTTTGGATCAAAGCCTCAGTTTTGATCGATGAAAAACAATAGTAGTGCGAAAGCGTCAACTTTGAAATTTAATAACTCGGTCCACAGTATAAGTCATGGCGATGATTGTCTAATCTGACACTTGGATATTGCCTTGTACTATCAAGTGTGGTCTTTCCGATGAATCAAAATCAAGCTGTTTCTGTTGACTTTCGAAGCAGAAATCTTTAATTACTAATTTTACTTACCAGTTCATGAAAATTTTCGAAGAAGAGCATCGACAATTTTTGATAAGTGACATAGTTAGCCCTCTCCGGCTGAATCGTGTAACTCTGCCACCGGAGTGGGAGTGCGTTATCGATTTTACTCTTTTTGTTTATGTTACAATATTTGGGAGGAACAGATAGAAATTTCAGAGACGTCTTGTTTTGTATCTTAAAGTGTGCTCACATCCCTGTAACAGAGTTTCGCGATTCAGCCGTTATATATAATAGTGTATACAATTGAACGGCACATCTTTTTAAAAAAGAATGAACTCTTAGGGCCTGCAGTATCAGGAAAAATACTAAGAGTGTCATTCTTTATGGGCCAGCTATTCGTTCGTCAATTATTTTATTCAATTTTATATTTCTCGTTATTGTTAGGAGTAATTGGTATTTCCGTCATGATTGATACAAAATTACTGTACTTGAGTTATTTTAGACAAGACATCGTTCGAGTCAATTTTGCAGAATTTTTTTAATCGTTACATTAATCGTCTAGCAGCTATCAAGTCATGTTTGTTGTTTTATTGGTTATTTTTTTGATCATCTACACTTCAACATAATCTAACGACAAATACCACAAATATATACTTTTTTCAGAAAACAGGATTTTGTGTTCTATGCTGTTTGTATAGCATGCTACGATTGCTCTCGTTGTTTAAAATAAATATCATTAAGCAGAGATTTTCATATCAATATCTTCGTTGGTTTGTTTTTTTTCTATTCATATTTATAATCAGTTTCTTAATTAAATGTAATCTAAAAAAATTCGCATTATTCTCGTTTAATATTACAGTGCAAACTAAATGTGTTGCAAAAATATCAAGTTTAAATGATATAAAATCGGTCCCATTTCATCATTTATCTACTTATTTAAAGCAGCCCACTTCTATTCATCAAGCGAAATATGTAACGATACCATATTCTTATGCACTATGGATGAATTCATCAAAAATACCACGGGAATTCACCATTCGTGAACATAAGAGAATAATGAAATTAATTCAGCTATTTCAAGACATCTGTGAAAAATATCATATAAGTTATATGATGAGTGATGGTACACTATTAGGTTGGTAATATGTTCAGTTATCTCTATAAAATCTCTTTTCATATGCGATTCTTTTCAGGCAGTTGGCGACATCATGATCTTATTCCTTATGACGATGATGTTGATTTTTTGGTTTCATTCGATCATAAAACTCGTTTATTTCAGCAGATAAATTCGTCAGCAGTGTTAAGCCATGTTATTATCTCCGGTGTATGTAAAATATATTTCGCTGGTGCTTCGAAAGCTGGAAAACATAAGTGGAATTGGCCATTCTTGGACATATGGTTTTATCGTGAAAATAGAACACATATCTGGTATGATGGAGATGACTGGAAATCTTTGGTTATTAAAAAGCTGGACGTGTTTCCATTGGTGCTGAGACCATTAGGTAATTGTTTCTGTAAATTGAAATTTTGAAAAATTTTTTGTCAAATTAAGGTACAGTGTGGATACCATCACCACGCAATTACACTGGGTATCATTCGTCTATTAGAAAAGATACTAACGATTCAACTCTCAGTTATTGTATACAAAATGGATATTCACATCGTACAGAAAGTCAATTGGCAAAAGTTACAGTCCGTTGTACAGAACTGATGAATGCTTATCCATTTGTGATGCGAACATGTACACAAGTCAAATGTCTAGAGGAATTAAAATTAGGACATCAGACATTATACATATTACGAGTAGATAATGGTAGAACATTTAAGCAAACAACAACAGCGAGTTTTTAAAGTTACTTGTACATGTCCCTAAGAGTTTTTCTAAAAGCGTTATAATCTATGCGTGTTTTGGACAGGCGAAGCATTTGTCCTATCACTGCCATCCGATGCAGCTCATCGAACTGACCAGAACTACCTACCAGAAAGTTTTCTCTTACGTCTCTTGGTGGCTGAACTGTAAACTGTTACGAGTTGCCTATTGTAATACATTCTCTCGACAAAAATTCTATGCACTTCCTATACTATTTCCTGCTATAAACTCAATATATAGAATTCTGTTACGATGCATTTAATATCATGATATTTTTTTAATAATCGCATCTTCTTGCTAGAATCCTATTCACAGAATCGTGATAAATCCTGCAACTTTCGGCTATCACCGATTACATTAGAATTCTATAGGATTTTGGTAGGATATGTCTAGGATCCTGTTAGAGAATCTATAAGTATCTCACTAGGGTTGTATCTTAGCTTTCTGTAGTAGAAAACATAACACAGAAAAAAAGTAACTGTAGTATAATAAAAAAAAAGGAAAAGTGAAACAGAAAAATTCATTGTCCACACATAAGAAGTACCATCGAAAGAGACAGACAGTAGGTATGCTGTTACGTGGAATGAAAAAGAGAACGAAAGAAGTTACGTAATATGCACCGGTGGTTTAATTTTCAAAATGTTTGGTAGATTCTATAAATTTTATTACTCAAAATAGATAGTGGAGAACTCGTCATATTGAAATCATCTTATAGCGGCAATACGATGTTGGAAATTGTTAGTGGTAACGAATCGGTCATTGGAAACTTGAAATATTATCGTTGGCTATGCTGAAAAGGTCATTTTTAACAGTAATATGGCAGAAACGTGGGTGCTGGCGGTGTACCTAACAACTGAGCAATAGACAGTTTTGTTCGCCGTTTAAAGCTACATCGAATGGTATATAGGAGTTTCCTTCAAACTTGTTGTGTTCTGAGAAAATTACGAAAAACGCCTCGGAATGGGTTCGCGGAGTTATTGTTCAAAGATGATCTATTTTCTGACAGATATGAGGTCCGAAGGGATACCAAGGGTGTAGAACCCCTTAAAATTGTATCTCTTTCACTCTAGATACCTTTCGAGACTTCCGTCTTTACAATGACACAAGCCCTAGAGCTCCATCTATCATGTTCGTACTCTACAGGCAATCTCCGAGGATCTACCTATCGACCAAACTTAAGCTCTAAGAACCTTAAAAACACATGGCACATAGGCTATTGAACATGCTGATTACTGTGGCAATGTTTGTTTTGATATTCGGATTAAGGAAATTACAAAAGACCAATATTTCCGAAAATGCGATTTTTCCACTATGGCCGTAATTAAAAACCTTATAGCGCCTTCATTCTTCAACAAAATTGCTTCAGATTCTCAAACTAAACTTAGTTTTCCCTGGTGCACAGCTCAGGAGGGTTAAAAGTTCTTTTCATAGTGAGATTTCCCTGAAGAAAGCTAGGTATTTTAGCCGTATATTGAGCAGACAAAGTCAATTATTTTTTCTATTAATAAGTGCTTATCGACATTTTATAAAACACCTTTTCGTTACTTCGTTACTTTATGGAGAGTAACAAAGTGATGAAATTAGTAACTTAATTAATAGTAAATATTTTCGTTACTTTACCTGAAGCGTTTTAGAAGTGCTCGCTAGTCAGCATGAATGCACTGTGAATTTCAGGAATCATGTGATAAATAATCAACAATTGCAACACGTTGGACAAATATTTTCAGGCAGACAGACGAAGGGGTGGAGTATTGCGAGTGAGAGGTGGTGAGTGATATCGTAAACGTTTCCTCTTATGATCAAAAGTCGAAATTCTTGGTCAAAAAATTAAAAGACGATAAGTATAAAAGTCTAAGTAGAGGAAAAAGTCAAAGTGAATCTTCCAGTACTAAACTACTCTAATCTCGGGGAATAGTGTTTACTCAGTTACGCTTACGCGATCTGAAACATAATATTTCTCATGCAAGATCGATTCTGACTAAGATCAGTATCGACCTAATCTGTAACTTTACAATCACTTATACCTATTGTCAAATCAGAAGTATATCGAATTATCCTGATCGGGATATAATTTCAAACTATATCCCGTTCGGAGTATAGAAAAAATTTTGCTGCAAAAAATGATATTTCGATTCGGATATGTCTCCACACTGCCTGTTGCTCTACTCCAGGGCTGGTCGAGTCCGAGTTATTTCGTAGCGGTTTTGAGTCCAGTCACTAGTGTTTCCGAGTCGAGTCGAGTCAAGTTATTTTTGCCATTTTTTCGTTTTCTGTTTATTTTTATAAACAACTTTTTCCATATGAATACATAGGTAGAAAAAAGCTCTTGAAAAAATCGTTCTATACAATACATTCAAATAGGACAACAGTTATGATTAAGTGAAAATTCAATCTTATAAATTGTAATTTTTTTATAAGAACAAATGAAAACTTTTTTGAATGAATGACTCGAATCAAACAGTCGAGTCAACGTCACCCAACTTTCGAGTCAGAGTCAAGTCAGAGTCTTTAAAGAAATGTGACTTGACTCGGACTCGTCCAGCCCTGTTCTACTCTGCTTACACAATATCGACACGTGATACGACTTTTTCAATGTTTGCTGCCTGAAAAATCTGTAGAATTTTACACTGAAATGTGTAGCTATCTAATTTACTACTAATTTAAGCCTTTTTCCCTGTCGTTCCTGCAGGAGAGTTAAATGTCTTCATTTTCTTTGTAATCGATGATAGAAAAAGTAAGATATCCATTGTTTGTTACATTGTCAGCTGAACTACTGATTTTCTATCTTACTATTCAGAAAATCAGTACAAATAGAAGAGAGCAGTGAGAGCAATATTGCAACGAGTAAACTGAGGTAGCTTTTCACCAAAACTCTCAATTTTAAGACTATATAGCTATGTGTTTTTCTCTATACAGATATACGTTGAAACAGAAACAAACACGTGCCTGCCGGTATTATCTAGTATAGGCATAAACAGCTCTTTTCTGTTCTCCTTTAACATATATGATATATCGATTAAATATATAGATTAAAAAATTTCTTGCCCGTGTAGTGTGACGATCATGAGTCTCATTTAAGAATTTCATACAGTCAAGATCTTTGTCACTGTGTCAGTCAAACAGGCTAACTAGGCTAAATCTGAGAATGTAAATGCGCCGCACAGTGAGATTTTACGCATTTTTATTTTGAAAGTAAATTCCAGTCTTATGTCGAAGTTAGTAATACATGAAGGAGAGACCTAAATATTTTCTTGAGCATAAGTAACTCAAAGAAGATGGCGCATAGAAGATCCTCTTGTACCACTGAATGGTTTAAAGTATATCATTTATAACTCTAACCATTTAAAACTATTTTAACTTTTAGTAAAAAATTTAAAATAGTTCTAAATAGTTCGATTCAAAAATATTAGCCCTAGTTGAGATTTATAAATCGAGCTGAACGCAGGCAGAGTGCAGCTTTTTACTCAGTCAACCTTTGATAATCAAATTTGTAACAAAACTATATTCTTTTCGCATAAAACACATATATGCACAAAAACTAAACTGGAAAAGAAAACTACGTTCTTTTAACAAACAGAGGGCGAAGAATCAGCAATATCGGCAATGTTAGAATTTACACTGTATAGTCCGAAATACGGTAGTTTATAAGCATTTATAACTCTCAAGTTTTCTCAAGTTTAACGGCCAATTTTCCAGCGGAAAAGCGTTTATAAATCCGTTTATAAATCAAACATTCATAAATAAACGTTTATAAATCCATTTATAACTAATGTATAACTTTCTAAGTCTATACTGATCAATATTGCCACGTTTAAATACAACTTGTCAATACAAAACAACAGAGTGATTGACTCGTTCAAGTACTTGGCTAAAGCGAATCAAGTGACGATATTTGACGACTTCTTAGACAAGAACTCGGGAAGTAAAAACACTTGCCATGTTCTTGTTCAAGTACTCACTAAGGGAGGAAATCTGTCAAGTACTTCCCAAGGCTCGGCAAGTAATCAGGTACATTCCCTCGGGTAAATTATCAAAGATTGACTGAATAAAAATGCTGCACTCTGCCTGCGTTCAAATCGATTTATGAATCAACTCAACTTTTAACTTTTCAAAATTACTTTTGAACTCTTCAGTGCCTTGTACTGTAGAAAACGTTATGAGTTCCCCTTCGCAGCGACACAATATTAAGTTCCAAAAGATCTTTATCTCTTCAACGTAGTATAGCTGAGTCTTCGTTTATGTCAACCCTTTAGCTTGTTTCTCAGTCTGTGTGGGTCAGTTTTGTGACGAAAATAGGAAGTAGAGTCATTTTTGAAAGCAATAGACACAACTATAACATAGTATTATCATCGACGATACTGGCTTCTTCTCTTTCGCCACATTGCTGTATACTGTAGAAATGCCTCGTGTTCTCGAAGAAAAGTCCGGGTAAAACACAGAGCACAATGCTATGCCTCAGTAACACAAATAATATTTAGAAAAGTCTAACAGAACCGCTCGCACAAACTTATCTTCAGCTATATCAGAATTAATTTTATTGACTACGTCTCATAACAAGTTGGTAGTGCTATCTTTCGCTATAAAACCCGATTGAGAAGCCGACAGAAGTTTGTTGTTAACGAAATGAGCATATAGTTGCCTGTGAATTAATCTTTCGGATATTTTCGATAAAGCTGGTAACAAAGTTATTGGTCGATAGTTAGATGTATCGAGACTGTCGCCATTAACAAACAGAAACACATGAATAGTGTAAAAGACAAAAAATAATGGCGTAAACAAGTATGTCAAAGGAGTGTGCACTGAAGAGACACAGGGGTGCAGATCGACCTGAAAAACTCGTTTTATTATAAGGAATGTCATATATTGTTTCCAAAAACGTCCACTCATTTGTGATTTGCTGACAGTCTTTTCGACTTATTATGATAATGCTCATAAGATCCAAAAGGTTCGAGAAAAATTAGAGTAATTCCAGAAACGTGGAGCGCACATCAGTTAATTCAGTTTTTTATGCTGATTTCAAAATGAGATTCGCTTTGCTAAAACATGTAAGTTCAATGGTGTAAACAGTAAGAAATGAGTGCGTTTCCTTGGATTATGCTAAGGTGTTTAGGTTTGGTAAAATAGATAAATTGCTGTTTCTAATAAGATGTACATAAGTATAAGACTATGCAATGGAAAAAAAACCTGTACAAAACAGGACTGACCTATTTTGTTCCTCAGCGCATTTATACTTCGGAATGCACCGGTGTCGGTCCGACAGAAAACCGATGTTCGGTATAAACCGGGTGTTCTGTAGTATGATAATATTTGTGAACTTATTACGATGGAAACAATCGAACAAAAAATTATTAAGAATCTTGCTTAGAATCACAGCATTCGGATCCATGATTATGTCTTCTTTCTCAAACGATATATTGCACCTAAGCGTCTTCTACATCCGAGAATTACGTCTCTAACGTGCTCACCCCACGACAGACGTTAATTTTACTCCCAAAAGGACTACTGATTTTTCCCGTTTTATGATCGCGTTTTTGATGGAAAAGCTCAGATGATCCTCTACAGATTGGTTGCGATTTGTGAAATAAATCCAAACGCATTTAGAATACTTAAGGGACATAAGATTCAGTTGGAACCATTCCTCAATTTTATCGATGGAAGCCTGGCACTCGGTACCGAACCTACGACATTCGTAGGACATAATAGCGAACAGTCGTCAGCGAACACAACGGATAAAGATGGTAGCAAAGTCACCATCGGCAGATCGTTTATAAAAATCAAAAACAGCAGAGGTCCTAAAATGGAGCCCTGAGGAAGAACTCCAGGGTGGCACTCCTACCGTTCTTGAAAGCCTGGAGCCTATCCGAACTCTCTCATGACGATCTGTTGAATAGCTCTCAAACCACTTATGTACTCTCCTCTTCTCAAGCATCATCTTCCACCATCAAAAAATCGATGTTTCTTCACAGGCCCTTCGTCTTTTCCATTTGAGATAAATATGGCATACCACTAAATCGACCATGGGCTACACCATTCCGCAAAAAACTTTCTGGCAACCCACTTGGAAAAAAGACTTGTGAAGAAAGAACGACTTTTAGACGAGAAAAGATGAAATACTGGCCCAAAAAGATCCATTTGTTGACCAGAAAAGATAAAGTTTTTGTCAAGAATCATCGACTGCTTGACGAGAAAAGATGAACTGCTTGTGAAGAAAGAACAACTTCTAGACGAGAAAAGATGCAGTTCTTGTGAAGAAACATCGATTTCCTGATGAGAAAAGATCAAATACTTGTGAATACTGTCATAGATATTTTTAAGCAAACAAGAAATTAAAATTACATTTCTATTGCGATTCTTACATTTCGTTTGGCAAAAAGTAGAATGAACGAAATAGTTGGATGCACGACATAATTGAAGAAACACGGAAAATGCATCCAACTATTTCCGCATCCGGTGACCGTCCTTGAAAAGTGACAAGTTTTTTAAAGTTTCCTTTCAAAGTCTGAGAAAACTCAATGTTTTTAGTTTCATACTTTTTTTCTTTTCTTTCCTGCACTCAGAAGACTTTTTCTTACGCATAGTTCGACAAAAAAAGATATGGAGAAAAGAAAAATCTCCGTTTATTTTGTTGGTTTCCTGAAAGTAAAATAATTTTAGATTTTTTCATGACGCAGTTACTAACTATCGAATAGTGTTTGTGTTACCTCATAGCAACGCACATATCGAGAAACAGAAAGAAACGCAACCAACCATTTGGTTGATTCCACTTTTTTCGAGACAAAACGTAAGAATCGGAATAGAACTGTAATTTTAATTTCCATTTTGTTGCAAAAATGTCTATCACAGTATTCACAAGCATTTCATTTTTTATTGACAAGAAGTCGGTGTTTCTTCACAAGAACGACGTTTCTTACGCTTTTTCTTACGCATAGTCCGATAAAAGAAAGTGTTGTTTTCACAAGGAGAAAATAGTTGGCTAAAATGAGTGCAGTTTTTCTAGTTTTTCTAAAGATTATTTAATTCAAATATATATTTTTGTCTGTATGTGCATTTAACGTCTGTTTAAAGAGAGATATGGAGAGAAGAAAAATCTGTTTCTTTTGTTTTGTAAATATGTGGTTCTTACAACGGTAATTAGAACATGTAATTCTCCGTTTCAAGTTTTTTCTTTTTATGTGCAACGTTCCCTTGGTTGTTGTTTTTTTAATCTTTTTCTTGCATAGGAGTTACATTCATTTAAGTTTCCCTTTTTGGTAACAGCCTAGACACATTCGTGTTCAAATAAAAAAACCTATTGATTGATTGTTGGTTTTCTGAAATTAGAATAACTTTAGGATCTTTCATGACGTAGTTGCTAACTGTCGAATAATGTTTGGGTTATTTAAGCCTTATAGTAACGCAAACACAGAGAACCAGGAAAAAGGCATCCAACTATTTCATTCATTCTACTTTTTTCGAAACGAAACAGAAAAATCGGAATAGAATGAGATTTTAATTTCTTTTTTGCTGAAAAATGTCTATGACAGTATTCACAAGCGCTTCATCTTTTCTCGTGTAGACGAACATGATCGCTCCATCGAACAATGACAACGACTGCGAACTCCAAGAGTTCTTCAAAGTTATTTGGCTTGATGATCAAGTAGGAAAAAATGAAGAAGCTTTGGAATTACAATCGAAATTGCAATCTTCATTATTTCATTGTTCAGTTTTAATCGCATTTGAAGACGCAAAAGAATGCGAAGAATACTTACGACAATATGATGATGACGAGAAAATTGTCTGGATTGTTTCTAGAAATTTAGGTCAAACATGTATCCCTAATGTTCACGATTTATTAGCAATTTCTGTCATTTATGTCTATCGTTTTGACAAAAAAGTACACGAAGTGTGGGCGCGACAGTACAAAAAAGTAATGTATTCTCTTCTTTAAATATCGTGTTCATCCACAGTTGTTCACCTTAGATACTAGCAGTCACCTATGATGTGACTGAATTATTTCCCAAATTATCGCTACATGGACGAATGCAAGACCGTCTGTTGTGTTCATTCTCTGATTTTACCGCAGATGAGCAGTCATCAACAAAACTTAATGTTGAATTCATGTATTCTCAACTGATTGTTGACATTTTGATGCAAATAACACCATTATCAACAGATCAAAAACAATTTATTGAGATGTGTAAAAATGAATACCGCAATGATAAATGTGCATTAAGTCGAATTGATGAATTCGTTTTGAAATATGAACCGAAGTATGCTTCTTGGTGGTACACATGTGATTCATTTGTTTATCGTCTATTAAACAAAGCATTTCGTTTAAAAGACATCGATATGTTATTTCTCTTTCGCTTTTTTATTCGAGACTTGTATGAACAGTTACAAGAACTCTCTTACTCAGGTGAACCAGAGAATGTTCTGCGTGTCTACCGAGGACAATCGTTAAAACCAGATGAATTCGAACGTCTCAACTCATCTATTGGTGGGTTTATTTCACTGAATAGTTTTATCTCTACCAGTCGTCATCGTACATTGGCCGAGGTATATGCTGGCCCAACAGGAGTTTTATTTGAAATTGAATGTCATTCACTTCATCTCTCCTCTAAGGAAGCAACAAAGAGACCATTTGGTGACATATCATCAATGAGTAGCTTTGGCGACACAGAAGCAGAAGTGTTGTTTATGCCTGGTTCAGTATTTCGGCTTGATGATATCAAGAGCGATAATAGCAATATCTCGGTTATTAAATTAATATTAATTGCAAATGATGCAACTAATTATCCATTGAAACAACTCCATCAATATATGCAAAATCATCTGCTCCATGAAGAGAATAATTGGGCAAAACTAATAGGACTCGGAACACTGTTGAAAGAAATGGGTAAGAGAGATAAAGCTGGACAATATTATCGAAAATTATTAGATTTCAGTAGTGAAAAGGAAAATGTCACTGATTATGTTCGACATGCGATGGACATGCATGACAACGAAGAACCGAATGATGAGCAACTGAATTGTTTTTTGAAAGAATTAGTTAAATTTCGTCAAAACTTTCCTGAGAATGATCGAAATATTATTAATTGTCACGGTTTAATTGCTGAAACATACCGCCGACGAAACAATATGCAATTGGCATTCGAGCATTGTCAAATTTCTCTTCTTCTGGCACTCGATAACGGTAATTATCCTTTGCTAATCGCTGCACGCTATCAAGCCCTTGGTTTTTTGTATGATGCACAAGGAAATGATGCTCAATTAGCTCTTGAGAATCATCGTCATTCCCTGGCCATTCGAGAGAATTATTTACCTAAATATCATGCTGACTTAGCTGATGCATACAAATATGTTGCCTTGGTTTATCATCGAATGAAAGCCTACCAGGAGTCATTAAACTATGACAAAAAAACACTCGAAATTCAAATGCATTGTCTAACTCACTCTCATCATGACCTTGCATTCACCTATTGGAGGATCGGATCTTGTTACAATTTATTGAAACAGTATCAACAAGCAAAACAATACTATCAGCAAGCTTTCACAATTTTTCAGAAAAGCCCTGCCAGAGTTAATGAAACGTTAATTCAGATGGAAAGAATCATGCAAAATAATGAAAAACTTTTGCTGGTCGATTAGATTCTTTCATTTATCAACCATTTTTCCATTGGAAACTTATTTTTTGAATCCTATGCTTACATTTTAACACTAGCTTTTGAAAGTGATTCTATCGCGAAAGTCATATTATATTTTTGTTTCGAATAATTTCACCAGAATAGCACGAACTCAAAAATTCAGCGTCATGAAGGAAATGAAGTACAGAATAATTTCGCAAACGAAAGATGTCTAATGTAGAAGATCCGAGTTGCACTTGAGAAATGTTAATTTCACCAACATTTCTTTTGTACGAATTCCTCTGTGTGGTCGCATTACAAAATACAGGATGATACAGAGAGAGAATAAAAAATGAACACAGTAGTCAAGGTCTGTTTCGAAACCAAGAAAACGAGAGAGAAAGAACGAAGAAAAGAAAAGAGAAACATACTATTGTTTCTTCTGAAATTCGTTTTGAAGTACAAATATACTCTATAACTGCATAATATATATACATAAAAAGAACTTCTTTCGAAAGCGTTACATTTAATATAAAAACTAATAATTATATCAACCCGGAGTACACGTTCAAATTGTTCAAACAGCATTCGGATTTTCTTTTGGGCAGCACGATGCCCAATGCCATAAAGATAAATAACAAATTCACCACTTCTGCACTGGTTATGAATTAAACCATCAGCAAATAAATACTGTTGTTGACCTAATTCAACTACAAAAGGTTGTATATAGAAATTTAAAACGTACAACGTTTATCAAATCCCTACCAGTATTTTCATATGTTCGGTTTTCTTGTTGTTGAAATGATGCTGACTGTAAAGATGATGCAACTGTTCGCTCGCTGTTGTACAAATCTTCTTTTGTTAAATGATATGATGAATCACTCGAATCTTGCGTACTAAATCTCTGTTTTGATATTCTTGAACATGATCTACTCCGTGATGATTTAGATGAAACAGAAGCAAATGTACAAAACACATGAGATCGAACCAGTTTTATGAGGAAAAAAGAAGACTGTTATCCTTTCGATATTATAAAGCGGCTCACTCTTTTTCTGAATAACTTTTGAACGATGAAAACTACAGAGGCACGATTTTGCCATTCGACAAATAAAATCTGACCTCACCTAGAGCGCGTTAAATAGGAAAATAATCAAATATTTCGTATTTAACGCGTTTAAATTCCTAAACTCAACACGGTCGAACGTTACTTCAAAGAAGAAATGAAAAAAACTGCGTTTACACTCATTAACTTCTAAACTTTAACGCCTTAGAGATGCAACTTAACCCGTTAGATGTTTCATATTTAGTGCGTTCTGAGGATTGTTAGCCACTTCAACCTATTTCATGACTCTCATACTAAAGAGGACATTTTGGACTATCTATATCAAAACATCAACCCATTCCTACTACAAATTCTGAATTGCATCTGTGTTTTCCAGAGATATTGAGCCACATCATAATATCGAAAGGATAATACTTACAACATGAGCAGGTTGAACTACTTGAATAGGAGTAGTTTTTATGATTTTGAAACAACTTGGCTCGAGAGCGTTGAAGTGACCGTGAACGTCGTAGAGGAAGCGATGGTGTACTTCTTATTGTACTTCTTCCTTGCAAATGCTGATGTGTTTGTTTACGAACTAGAACAAAAGGATTGACTATTACTCGAAGCAAAACGTCCGAGTCTGTCATTCCTGAAATACACATAGCGAATTATTTCACTAAATACGTGCCGATATAGAGCAGATATCGTTCTACAACATGGCACAAGTTTCACACATCCATCTACCATGGTTCGGATGCTACAGAGAATCTCCGAGGACCTACCTATTGGCCAACTCTGCGTTCTAGGAACCTTAAAAATACATGGTACATAGACTATCGAACTCGCTGATTACTGTGGCAATGTTTGTTTTGTTGTCTGGATTAAGAGAAATGCAGACGATTCTTTCGGAAAATATGATTTTAGTATGATCGCAGTGGAAAACTTTTTGTATTATGGTGGCATATTATTCTATTGTCCAGTTATCTTTAAGTGATTAATGATAGTGATATGGTTTATCTATACACATATACAGACTTTTCAAATAGAGTAGATATTGTGCCCGTTCATCTAATCGATGAATAGCAGGGTCGTAAACTGTTGTTGCTGTGTGAGATATCGGAAGCTTCTTTACTACAGGTTCCAAATCGATACATGTAGCTTTAAAGCTTTCAAAATCTTGACTAACACTACTTAAATTACCTCAAATCGACTGATAATAATTTTGTCTTGTTTCTAAATCATATTGGTCACAAATAAAACTGTTGCTTATGTAGTCGCGGCATCTGCTACGTTGATGAGATTCTAATTCTTCGTTTCTCTCTTGCGAAAGCTCTCGATGCATTCTTTATGTGATGAAACAACGAGCTTTAACTAGTATAACTTCACTCTAATGATATGTATGTAGAGCAATGGTAACAATATACATATATGAGAAGAAAAGAAAGTGTACCATTCAAAACAAGAACTTGTCTTTTCTATCGTATATACATCTATGCTTTATCTCAATTATTGACATTACATATCTGTTTAGCTTTTTGTTTCATTGTATTAAAGTGTTCATGAGTTCATATTTATAGTTCATTAGTGATAAATAGATAAACACATTCATAATGATTCATTATCAACTG